TATATGTGTATATAATTATGTATTCAAATTTATGAATGCTTCCTCTCCAGGTGTTTGTGGTGTTTATGCATTTCATTCACCTGTTATTATTATTTGTACTCCAATTGTTAGAATACAAAATGCATTTTAGTTTTATAGTTTCATGTAGTGAGTAAGTCAATAAAAGAGTATGTTCTTCAATCACACTTTGGCCGCTCTCGCAAGCTCTCACTCATTTCACTGTGGTCGATCAAGCGACTTTGGGGCAAGCGGTTAATGAAAATACTAATCGTTAGCTTTCTCCTGGTATTAAACTTGTTTTGATTGATTGTATAATTTTGTCGGAATAAAGGAAACAAAAAGGCTCGACCATTAACTTATCAGCGTCTGAATTGACCTTTTGACCTTGAATTCCCTGATGCAAGCGCACTAATGACGTCATCTTCGCTAAATCGGTGTCTTTTTATCGTAAAATGCGACACTTTCACAATGTTTATACATCTTTTTTAATTATTAGTAAGATATAACATATTTTTTTTGATATCACTGAAGTTTTGGGTTTTATTTAATGAGTAATTTTAAAATAAGATCCATTTTACTGTTTTAATTTACTGGATCGTACCATTAAAGTCGCAGGGTAGAAAGATGCATTTTCCAACCGCGCCAAATTTAATTTACGTTCCGACATTCTGTTAAATGGGTTCGTGTTGTTAAAGTAGATATTCATTGATTTTAAATCTAGCTTTATTTTCATTATTGCAAAGTTGAAACTTTGATTCGACAAGGTTATCAAAATTCAATGCTTGGAAACATTCGAAGTAATGATTATTATAAATTACAAAACGCTTAAATACAGCCCCGGCATAGCACCTGAATAGTTCTCCGAACGCTGCTGAGATGATGTGTGAGATCACAGCAGGGACATGATTTGCACGAGCAGACGATGTCCCATGACATCTTACACATTTTCAGTGCCTGTGTTTTCATCTTCTCTTGAGTTCTTTCTCTTACTTCACTACCGTCAGGCTAAATGTATAATCTATTGCCTCACTCTAAACCCCGCGCATGCTTTTATTTTGATGACAAATGCAGCGATACAAAAATAAAGGAATCTGTCGCTTGTAAACAAAATAAGACGCCATTGTATATTCAGCTGCAGACACCGCGGTATGTTCGGTGTTTTAAGAGGGAACAAATGCCGTCCTTAATATCAATCCGGGGGCTTTTCAATTTGAAAGTCTGGTTTCTTTGATTGTTAATTAACCCCTATCCTGTGTATTTACAAGCAAAAGATTTTAGTTATCAGAATTGGGTCATGTCCCCTTTTGATCGGTTTGACGTACCAGTACATTTATATACACTAAACTCATTATAATTTGACAAATAATAGCTTTGCAATTATGTTCATTCTTTATGGGATGTCGTCTGCTTGGGCAGTATTGGTCCCTGTTGTGACGTCATTAAAACATCGTTATTTTTCTGGCGAATCTCTCGTATATCCCAGCTGCTATGGAGGTGGTTGTATTTGTATTTTTATAAATCACCCGATATGTAGCTGACCTCAAACTTGTACGATGGCCATCTGTTAGCTTACCAGTTTCTAGTGATACATTAGTTGACATATTTGTGATTTTCTTTGAATTTCACCTTTAATAATCCAATGCTTTCTGCTCCACCAAACGTCCACATGCGGAGTCGTTTATCAACTAAATTATTCAAATTTATGGATGCTTCCTAGCTTCCAAGGTGTTTGTGTTGTTGAAGCATTTCATTCACCTGCTATCATTCTTACTCCAATTGCCAGAACGCAAATTTTATTTTAGTTTTATAGTTTCATCGGAGTCGTTTATCAACTATATGTGTATATAATTATGTATTCAAATTTATGAATGCTTCCTCTCCAGGTGTTTGTGGTGTTTATGCATTTCATTCACCTGTTATTATTATTTGTACTCCAATTGTTAGAATACAAAATGCATTTTAGTTTTATAGTTTCATGTAGTGAGTAAGTCAATAAAAGAGTATGTTCTGCAACGTGTGTCCCTATTGTACAATGTAATGTGTACCCTCATTTTGTAATAGTTAATTTACCCATTCACATAATGGAACTACCTGCCCGATGAAGCCAGTGGCCTGTGACCCCTGAGCACTCAACACCGTGTGGGAGTCAGTTTGTGGTCAACTTCTTTTATGAGACACGTACAAGCAAACGTTTCCATATGAACCCCTCCCCATGAGATGACCCCGAAAATACGACCCTATTCCAAATCCAACCACGTGGGAGACAGTGAGCATGGGATGACAATAGAAAATGCTCTTTACAATACTAAGTTTCAGCGAGATTAATAATATTAATTAATAATTAATTAATAATAACAACAAAACAATCAAAGATCTACTACACTCGTATATGGTCATATCTCTATATTATGATAGACTTGATATCGCAAAGCAAAAATATATTCAAGATTCAAGATTCAACTGATTTTATTTCTCTTGCAAAATATATTCAAGATTCAAGATTCAACTGATTTTATTTCTCATGAAAAATATAATACAATAAAATTGTTTTTTGTTTTCCGTCTCATTTGACTGCACATAACCGTAAAGGATGCAGATATCTTCAAAGTAACTTACCTTCGGGTATTAGTTTAGCCTGAAATCCTTTGCCAAAGAGCATAGTTTCATCATTACTGTTATATATAATTCTCAAACGGTAATAACAAATCGGTCGATTGTAGTCAAAAAGCATTGTTTTAAAGATTAAGTAATATCAGTCTTGAGAGTTCATTATTTACAATTTCATCACTTTAGACTCGATTTCAACCTCGACAGCGATCCTTGAATAGCGTAAAATCGCATATATGCTTCTAGTATGGTCATTAATTTTGAACTTAAGTCATGACCCCGTACCAAAACTTTGAAATACCATTACGTAGAATGAAACCATTCACTTTAACATGCGTCATTATGTAAAGGACATTTAATCTCACACTTTCACCCGCCCCCCCCCCCCACTCAGTGTTATTTAGGGTACGCATATGCTTGTTCCCTCTTTTTGAAAGCACCCCCTATCTGAGGGCTGCCAACATTTCGAAACCCCCCCTTTCGCGGGCTTTTCGCGGGCTTTTCCTGCCTTGGAGACCCCCCTAAATCATGAAAAATGCTCAATGTACCCCCCTAAATTCGGAATAATTCCTTAGGAGTCCAAAGAGATGAGAGAAAAAAGAAGAACAAACACCCCCTTTTTAAAGAAATCTCCGGGTGAAAAGTTAATACACCCCCCCTTTAAAAAAAAAAAAAAATTCTCGGGCCGGACGATGTCGCATGAACAGTACCCCTTTACCGGACATTTTGGTAACACGCATGGGGTCCGTCCGTTCTCGGAGTGGGGGAGCCGGGGGTAAATGGGGAACAAATAGAGGAAGGCAACGAAGAAAGAATGATAGAAAAAGATTGCAAAAGCTCTAGAAAGAGGAGGCTAGATCAGCAGAAAGAGGGGATTGAGTCGAGAGTCAAGCAAACCTAGATTCAAGTCAACAATGTCAACAATTAGTGCAATTAATGACGGGCTCGTCAGCACACAATGGGTTTATTTCTAGACTTCTCATATTATAGGCCTAGTATTAAGATGAATAGCAATGCAAATAAGCAATTTGCGAGGTTAACTGCAAACAAGAATTGAACTTTATATATATATATATATATATATTGTAACAGGGGTGGGGTGTTATCCCGCCCCCACCCCCACCCCCCCCCGACTACTCCGGGGTCGGAATGACCGCATATGCGCGTGTTACCAAAATGTCTGATAAAGGCTAAAGGGGTACTTTTCACGCACCAAAGTCGGCTCGTAGTACACAAAAATATACACCGGACTTAAGGGGGTGTTTTCAAAAGAGGGAACACATGCACATATGCGTTCTCTATAAAATAACACTGAGTGGGGGAGGGGGGGGGGGGGGTATTATGTATATTTTTATGTAGATTTATTATTTTTCAGTAGATCTATTCGTTTTAAAAAATCGTCCCTATTTTCACGAAGTGACGGTAGTGAATGAAAATCGCATACAATTTGCGTGCGGATTTTTCTCACTACCGTCACTTCGTGAAAATAGGAACGAAATATATTTCGCTTATTCCAAATATTATTATTGCGTTTATGTCGGTTTTGTCATTGGGCATCATTAGACTGTTGCAATTTCTCATCGTCGTTTAGGTTTCGAAAGTCCGGTACTATATTTTTTAAGTTTAGAGATACGATGTATATTTGAATCTGGGAGCTAATCTTGAGCTCTGCTATATGGGAATCGTATGTCTAAAGAACATGGCTATAACTCATTCTGGATTATTTATTCCGCAGTAGATTGATTGTTTGAACCAGTAACATAAAAACAATCTCGCAAAACGTGCTGGAAATCATCTTCAATGAAAACCAAAATTCTCTGCATTTGCACATAATTGAGCTGTGTTAGCACATGGTACGTGTCGGGCCTATTTACCTTGATTTCCTTATCTTTCTATGCTCACATTTTCTACCAAAATCGTTTCGCACGTGTCATTTATTTGTAATCTTGACCATTCAGTGTAAATTTTGTTGTACTCTGTGAGAATTTATTTTCTATCATTACCAGTGCTCAAGCCTATTTTTCAGTGTGTAAATTTGTTAGGAAATGTATTTCATTCTCTATGTTTGGTCAGGCTAGTAACTCCATGGTGTTAACAAAGGGTGCATAATTGCATATCCTTCATTATAATTATATACCCCCTATCTAGGGTTTCGATGTGATGGGTTGTCTATTGGTATTGCTTTCCACCAATCACGTACTGCCCACTCTGTTCTGTTTAGTCTTTAGTCCAAAACCATTTCTTTAATAATCAAATACAACATCCCAACATAGATATGGAAGTAAAGAAGAATGAGATCTAATTTTAATATAAATACAAAATGTATATTTTTTAAATGATATAACTGTCATATATTGGTATTTTTATTACGATTTTAATAATTCTATTTAAAAAAAAGTCTCATAAGTCTGTAATATTCCTGACCAGCATTGCATACGTGGAAAACCGTGACTTATAACAATGGGTAATTTTTACTTTCTAAACGTTAATTGCTGTATTAATGAAATAATTTTTACATGAATGTCACCTTATTAACAGATTGAAACATTGATGTGGGTGTGAGAGTGGAAAGAGTGCTTTGAAAAGAAGAAAAGATAGGGTTAATTTGTTAGCTTTGTATGTTGTAGTCCCGTATGATAGTTTCTGTGTTTGTAAATTCATTTCGTCGCGTCCTCGTCGCCACGCCTCTGGCTCTGGCCCGGAGGCGACTTTGCGTTTTACACCCTGGCCTGGACATTTTCCCGGTAAATAGCAATGAAACTGCTTGAATGAGTCTAGTCTACGCTCCTCGATCGGGCGCGCCAGTTCCAAATCGAATCGTACATGCACAGACGTACGTCGATGCAGCATTTATACACACCGTACGCAGCTGCAATACTGAAGATTAAGGGAGAAGATATAGGATTTCAAGTTCAGAACAACAAGTTAAGAAGCTTGCTGCACGATGGAATTCATCGAGAATGATGACGGAGTGGCAATGCAGACGCCTTTGCGGGTATGAATACTGTAAATCCAGTTTTGAATTGTAGTTATATGAGTACGATTAACTGTAACTGTTAGGCATCCATAGTTAGCAAAACTAAGAGTAAATTCTAGATGTTCGACTTTGTACAGGTAAATGATTATATTAGTGTTACGGTAGGCCTACTGTTTTCTTGAAATTCAAACATTTTTAACTTTTCATGTTAGTTGTGCACCAGCACCACATAAATGCTTGGGAAATTTCATATTTGCACTCGTTTCAAGCTTCAATTGCCAAGATGCAGTTTACAAGTACATGTACTAGTATATTATAAAAAATGGTGAATAAATCACAATATCTCTGTGGAGTATCTAAATAATAATTATAATATTGGATGATCAATTTTCGCGAAATACGTGAAATATTGTTACTCGCTGAAGAAAAATATTTTCACGTATCATCCATTATTATGTGTATTCAGTTCGTTATCTCCAAAGTAAAGTGCGGTGCACGCCTCTGCGCCCATGAATCCGTCTATGTTCATATCTCTTTTTATCTACATGTGCATGTATTTTCAAATAAAAATTTCTTATAGTCATTTCTTGCATCTAAATCTTAACACACTGTCAAATTATCTGTTCAAATTTCTACTATTGTTTGCTTTCACTTTTACTACATATTTCTTCTTTATATAACTATTTATGCATACACATACTCCTGTATCTTTTGTATTACTTCTCTGACATTGAAGGATTAGATTACCTTCACGAAAAAAAAAAGTATATGAATGTAAAGCAGTAAATAAAGTGCAAATGAATTCATGTAAAACTGGTGTATAATTTCCTTTATATGTTATGTGTCTGTACATTACACTAGACAAAGTGATGAATGGAAAAAGAGAGAAAGAGAGGTCTTATAAACAAATATCATGAATTTAAAATGAGAAAGAGAGAAAGGGAGAGAGAGACAGAGGTCTTAGAAACAAATATGAATTCAAGAAGTGAGAAAGAGAGGGGGTCTTAGAAACAAATATCATGAATTGAGAGCTAGAGAGAGAGAGGTCTTAGAAACAAATATCAAGAAATGAGAAAGAGAGGGGGGGGGGGGTCTTAGAAACAAATATGAAGAGAGAGAGAGAGGCCTTAGAAACAAATATCAAGAAATGAGAAAGAGAGGGGGGGGGGGTCTTAGAAACAAATATGAAGAGAGAGAGAGAGGCCTTAGAAACAAATATGAAGAGGGGGTTAATGAGAGAGAAAGAAAGAGGGGTCTGAGAAATACATACGAGAGAGAGAGTGGGTCGAGAGAGAGAGGTCTTAGAAAACAAATATGAATAGAGATGGGGGGGGGGGGGGCGGGGGAGAAATGGGTCTTAGAAAACAAATATGAAGAGAGATGAGGGGGGGGGAGGTCTTAGAAAACAAATATGAAGGGAGAGGGGTCAAGAGAATTAGAGAAATTAGGTCTTAGAAACAAATGACATGAATTTAAAAAATGAAAGACGTGATCTCACAATAATAGAAAATGGTACGAGTGCAATGTTTAAATCACAGTTTATGTATTACATTACCATTACACATATTATGTCGAGTGTAGTCTGTGTATGTGTCGATATGTGTACACGTGTGTTAGGGGGGGGGGGGGGGGTCCGAATCAGCAAATGGTTTGAAAGTAGGCTACACGTCAAAAATTGAAACCCTGAAGAAGGCGGAATTAAACCACAAAAAACATAATATTATTTGGTTTCTCTCTTTCCTTACTTTGATTAATTCCTTCTCTAATTTCTCTCTTTCTTTCAAGTTAGTTTTTGTTTTCTCTCTCTGCTTATGACATTCTTTGTTTCCTCTCTGTTCTTTAATTATTTATTGTTTTTCTCTATTTCCTTCTGTTGTTATTCGTTGTTTTTCTCTCACTCGTACGTCTCGATACAAAAGTACATGTACCGCGTACCGCGACACTGGACATATAGGACGTACGTTGAGCATTGCAGAAGAGCTACGTGCGCGCGCAATATCTTGTCATGGATAGACTTTTCCCAGTCGGTTCCTTGAAATTTATTGGGAAAAGGTCCAGGCCAGGGTGTAAAACGCAAAGTCGCGGCCCGGAGTTCCGCTACAATAGAGGGCCATTCAGCCCGAATTTTCTTCATGTTCAGATAAAGATAATGAGAAGGATTTATATTAAGAATAATATATCACTGTGCATTGCCACATCTACATGTATGACCTATGCATAGGTCATGTCATACATGTAGTTTCTTCCCAAGAACACTCCGGGACTGGGATGAGCTCCCTACCAACTTCATTGAACTGCCCTCTGTGGAGAAGTTCAAGGGAGCCATCAGCGCCTAAATCATAGGAGGATCTGTTTTTACTCGCACAACTTGTATATACGCACTATGCACTAATCAATCATGACCACTATGAGAGACACCACACCACAATATCCTCGTTTAGTTGCTGAAAAGGCTTTTGACGAGTACCAGCATAGACGTAGACGTAGACGTAGATGTAGATGTGGCAATGCATAGCTATGTGAACTGACCGCAAGGTCTGATGGTAAAATTGCTACTGGCGCGATATCCAGGGCAGCGTCTCACGAATCTGTCATAACTAAGTACAAGTTCACCGACATCCCATTGAAATGCATGTATTACTATTAAGTTTAATAACACAAGTTTCAATGGGTTGTCGGTGAACTTGTACTTACGACGGTTTTATGAAACGCTGCCCAGCCCAGGGGCCCGTTTCTTGAAACTGTCATAAATTAGTAAGCTAACTTCTTGACTAAATCACAGTAAGTAAGCTACTTGTCCACTACATGTTTCATTAAGCCCTTTCTGCCATTATCAAGGACAACGTCCTGAGTAAGTAGTTATGATGCCTCTGACCCAGCTCTGTCATACATACAGTAACTATGTTGTAACTTCTTAGTTTAGTCGATGTGCAGCACCATCACATGTCATTTATTGGGTAGACTACATTGTATGGCTGGCAAAAAAGGACGATAAGTCCTTAAGGCTTTACTAAACTGATTAATTGCGTTCATTTCCATATTGTGAAATCCTCAAAGGGATGGGTAATTCAAATTTGCCACAGCTGGAAAGCCATAGTCAAAAGTATATTCTCTAGTTTTCAGACCCATTTCGATTTCAAGATAAATTCTATCTCCAAAAGTGTAAACTGAATAGTATAAAACATGTGTTTTACCGGTATTGAAGAAAGGCAATACTTGAAATTTGTCTTTTTTATATTTTGTTGAAGCCTAAACCATTGGGCCCAACTTTTAAAGTATCATATATTTACGAAGAATAATTAAAGGTTGTATTTTTATAAACTATCAAATGAAATTATCCAGGGGTACCCATCTCAAAAACAAAACTAATTCATGGGTTATGAAATAAAATACTCCCATTTGTATTTTACAAGTAATTATATGGTATAATCTACACATTTTTTGAAGTATTTTGTTTCTCTTATCCTCTGCTACTATTTTCAATTTATTGTTATTTTTATTTATCATCTCTTGCAGCTGTGAGTAGTGGAGTGTCGGCTCTTTTGTCTGCTATCTTAGCAGTAGCCCTGTTTGCGGGTATGCAGACCTACCGGATCCAACTGGCTGATTCAGAATGGCTTACAATATTTGGTGGCTTTCTCGGAGCTGACCTTTTCATCTTGATTTTGACTGTATCCTTTTCAACCTTTTTGCAGAGCCTGTCGTCACAGTTTTTTAACAGATGTTTGTCATATTAATTTAAATGATTGAGAATTTTGTGCAACTGGGAGTTGAGATGAAAATCAAATTCCAGTGTCCAATTTTTGGCTTAACTGAAATAAGTTGATGTAAAATTTTGATCCAATCAAAATTGTAGATTTTTGGGAAAGAAATACAAATTTGAAATAATCAAAAGTCAAATAATTATTAACTTGACACAATTAAAACATACCAATAACATTGAGTGTCGCTAAAAACTGTAAATTTTCTAGTTTCTCTGAGCGCCATTATTTTTCTCTGCTATTCATTTTTATTTCTTTATTGTGATTATTAAATTGTCTTTATTTAATTATTTATGTATACATATAATTTTAATAATTTGTTTATCTATGTGTTTATTAGTGTACACATATTTATTTATTTATTTATCTGTCTACTGGTAATCATGTATTTAATTTTTTAAAAATAATTTTGTATTATTTTTTTATTTTTTTATTTATTTTTTATTAATTAATTAATTAATTAATTTTTTTATTTATTTATTATTATTATTATTTTTTTTTTTTTTTTTTTTTTTTGGGGGGGGGGTATTGAACAATGGGTTGCACATGCAAATGGTCAACGTTGAAAAAGTGGCATTTCATAGATATTTAGTTCATATATATATATATATATATATTGACAAAAATAATAGCATTGTATTGTTGACCCTGCACTATGATTTGACCTTAACTGATATATTTGCAGTGCATCAGTAATATTGAAACTATGCTCTTTGGCAAAGGATTTCAGGCTAAACTAATACCAGAAGGTAAGTGTTACTTTTAAGATATCTGCATCTTTTACAGTGATGTGTAGTCAAATGAGACTGGAAAAAACCCTGGCACAGGGAATAAAAGATAATAACAATTCATTAATGTATTTGTGACTCTGGAAAGCTCCAAATCAGTTCTAGAAAGTTAGAAAGTAGCCGTAGTAATGAAACATTTGGAGCAAGGAATTAGTAAATCCCCACACAACTTGAGATTGTTTGAAGAAAAATAAAAAATTACATTGTGTTGACTGAGACCAAAAATTTCACAATGACAACATTTGAGAGAAGGTTAGAACGGGAACCAAGTTTGAACTATTTAGCCATTTTTGTTTACATGCAGTTCAGCACGTCTTCATTCAGAGACATCTCTTATGCTTTATATGTGGCGGCCAGGCAGAGGGGAAGATAAGACAAGCTTTTTGTACTGAAATAAAGATGAATAACGTCAGATTGTCATGATTTAAAACAAAAATGTAGTACATTTTATTGGTTAAAGGTATCTTTACTGCAGTAATTGATCCTAACATCTTTTTATCAGGAATTGAAAATTATAGCGCATATCACAATATGTCTCTATGCGCTGTGAGAAAGAGTAAAAAGGAAAGGTGGATAGAGTAACATAAGAAGAGTGAGATATGCTCAACATACTTCCTCTTGTTAACATTGGAAAGTATTTTTGAAAAGAAATGTTTTAAGACGCGCCTTAAAGTTGTCAACACTCAACAGCATTCCATTTATTCCAAAGTTTGGCCGATGCAACCTGAAAAGAGCGAGACCCGTAGAATTTGATTGAATTAAAATGCACAACATCTCAAAACAACCATTTGTTCAAATCATTTCTTTCTCTCTGTTCAAAATATTTTCTCATCTTTCGTTTTCTTTGCAGTTGCTGGAGCTCTTGTTGCTGCTATGTTTGCATCAGGTCTAGTTCATAGAGTGTGTGTCACAACCTGGTAAGTGAATCAGTTGTCTGGAATTAAGGTGGAATCCAATATAAAAGTAAACTACTCTAAAAGAAAGCAGGAAAATCAAAGGAGCAGACTGGTGAAGATTCCTTCATTAGGTAGATCTTTTTTTTGAGAGAGAGAATATACACACCTGTACAATGTAACAGCCCACTCATTTCCGTTGATGAGTCATGATGATGTTTCTCTGAAATGCATGCTTTTACCTTGAAGAGGGATTGCTTAGAAACTCATCGCATGTTTTGATGTCAATGTCAAAGGTTTTACCTTGATCTACAATGTATGACATCCACCTTGATCAACATCCTACACTACTTTTTATGCCTCCGTTACGAAGTAGCCGGAGGCATTATGTTTTCGGGTTGTCCGTCTGTACGTACGTACGTCTGTACGTATGTACGTACGTCCCTTTCTTGTGATCGCGTTATCTAAAGAACCAATAGATGGATTCCTGCCAAACTTTGGTCATACATGTATCTTGCAAAGTCGATGGACTGATTAAATTTTGGGGTCACGAGGTCAAAGGTCAAAGGTCACAGGGCTCATTAGGTATGCAAAAACAGCGCGTGATCGCGTTATCTGAAGAACCGATTGATGGATTCCTGCCAAACTTTAGTCATGTATGTATCTTGCAGAGCCGATGGACTGATTAAATTTTGGGGTCACGAGGTCAAAGGTCACAGGGCTCATTAGGTATGCAAAAACAGCTCGTGATCGCGTTATCTGAAGAACCGATTGATGGATTCCTGCCAAACTTTGGTCATGTATGTATTTTGCAGAGCTGATGGAGTGATTAAATTTTGGGGTCACGAGGTTAAAGGTCAAAGGTCACAGGGCTCATTATGTATGCAAAAACAGCTTGTGATCGCATTCTCATTAGAACTGATTGATGGATTGCTGCCAAACTTAGGTCATGTATGTTATTTGCAGAGCCAATGAACTGAGTAGATTCTTGGTTCATAAGGTCAAAGGTCAATGGTCATGGGCTCATTATGTATGCAAAAAATAGCTTGTGAACGCATTCTCATTAGAACTGACAGATGGATTACTATTTAACTCAGGACATCTTGCAGAGCCAATAAACTGAGTAGATTTTAGGGTCATGAGGTCAAAGATCAAAGGGTCATATATGTATATGAGAAGTTGCTTGTAATCACGATATTCTGAGAACCTGTCAATGGATTACAATTGAACTTGAATTCGAAAAATTTCTTCTGCTTTTGTTTGTAAAATTGCTCTATGACGGAGGCATCATTTTCAACTGCGAGCAGTCGAATTCCATCTAGTTTTTTTTTAAATCACTTTTTCAAACAACAATACAATACTGTGTTATACTTTATTACTGCTTTGGTGGCAGCACCAATAAAGCCTTTCCTAGCTGTCTCCACATTCATATATATTTTTGTTGTTGTATTTTATTGTAAATGTTTCTCTTTAACTTGTACGCTATATTTTGTATTTTATATGTTTGTTATGTTTTTATGATGAATGAAATAAAGATCAATTAAATTAAATTAAATTGATTCTCATATCTTTCTTAGCTTCCTGTTTTCCATGGTGGGCTTGTACTACGTCAACAAAGTCTCCCAGACAACGTACGCACCGTTCACAACAGCTGCTACATCACTCAAGAAAAAGAAATAAATTACTTTTTTACCAGCGGAGCTTTTTTCCCCCTCCAATGCATCATTGCTAGTTAGTATCCCCCTAGATGTTATGAAAAATGAATCGTGCAGAATCCATACAAAATACAAATAAATGATTAGTAAATGGCCTCTGTCAATCAAAGTGTGTAGAGAATGAACTCATTTAGCAAATAGGTGAGGAACGTTAGGCTGCTCCGGTTTATCCATTTAACAAGTACATGTCGTTCTAAATAATGTTTCACCAAGTCTTCTTGAGATTGTTAACTCTTTGTGTGCTACTCAAGTAACATCCCTGTGTCACATTGTCCCATGTTACCCATAAAGTTGGACTGATTTTTATTCACTTCTTTTCATGAAATGATTGTTATAGTATTCTCAATCTCATAGTTCTAGGGATGCATCAGTAAATCTCTGAGAAGATATAAACATTAACTACATGTATAAAAGGCATTGTTTAACAGTGTTCCAGTTGTACAAATCTGAGATGCATGGCCTTACATGTTATCTTGAAGCACTTCATGGTCATTTTGTAGCCCTGCACAAATTGCGCTTAGAAATGATCATGAATTGCTTCAAGTAAGAATCTTTGAGTGACCAGTTAAGTTTTACCATACTAATTTTCCCCAATAGACTGTAGTGTTATAAAAACCGTTGGGAAAACAGTTTTTGAAATTTCGAATTCCAATCATAAATATCTTGATAATCAGACGGGTGATCGTCTTGTGAACTTCATGGGATTCCTGACTGACCTAAAGGTCAATAATTATGATTGCAGCATGCACTAAATCCAGGATATTGTTCAGAATCTGAGGCAAAGATACCCAATCCCTTTAAAAAATGAATAATATTGTCAGAATCATTTCATGAACAGAGGTTAAGAGAAATTATTCAAACTTTATGGCCAACAGTATATTTCTCAAGGACTTTACAGAGTGCATCTTGTTTGTTTCAAAATTACCACATGCAGATTATGAAGAATTTGATGTAGCCAAGAACGACTTTGAGACTGGGAATAGGTTATACTGTGAAGCTTTTATACATGTTCCCCTGTGGATTAGTACCTGTTGTTTGTGACAAATGGCACTTGTGGCACACTTGTGAATGTGGGAGTTGGCACTTGTGACATAGAAAAGGTTAAATCTTCCAGTTCCCAACAACCCATTGACTTTTACGATCAACAATTTGACAAAAAAGTGAATTTTCTGAGACTGAGTCAGTCTTTCACAAAATGATTTCATTAATAGAACTCCAGATTACCATAAACAATATTCACCCAAATTAGATATATCGTATTTTCTATTTTTAGTTCGTAGCTCAGATCAGTGACAGCCTTCAGCTTGGAAGTGGGTAGAATTATTAATAGTTACTCACCCTCTATTAAATAAACATCTTATTCTTGTATGGTTGTGTGTGGGCTAGATGTGGTCCATTTACAGATTAAAGCAACAAGTTCCTAGGTCACAAAAAATGAAAGACAAAAATGTGGGATTTTCAAAGAATGTGGGATGCATCTATGATTTACAGCACATGGACTCTTGTTAGCACTGAAATTTGTAATTGAAATGATGCTATTTGTGTCATACTTTATCGAGAGTTGCAAAATTGTATGACATATTGAAACAAAAAGATAACTGAAACGGTCACAATTGAGGGCGAAAAGAAAGAAAATGACTCCTTTGAACCCATAATTTAAATAAAAACAATGACATGATTAATAATTTTTTCCTAAAAACCAGCAAAGAACACAGTTTTTATGCTTGTCTTTATCTTTCACCTGTATTGCCACCCGTAGTATATCAATGGTTTATAAGATGGGTGAGTCTTAAACGACTTTCATGACTTGTTTGCCTTTTATTACAATTCATAGTATTGGCCTGTGTATTTTAGCACTAAGCTATTGTTTCTACGTGGAATGTGGTAGTATACAATACAATAAAATACAATCCAGTACTTTGATTTTGTTGTTGTTGTTGCTGAACACAAATCAATCCATATGGTTTTGGGTAGTAAGGTAACCCAGAAAACACAACATTGAACAAAAGTTTATCCCAAATATAACTTTTAGATTACTAATTTTCCCAATAGAGTTTTAAGGAAAAAAGAAAATTTGCAGACATTTTTCTGCATCAGGAACTTTGAATTTAGTTATTTGTATTATAGAGTAGAAATAGTGAAAGAGTAGCATAAAAGGCAGTAGGGGATACACGTAGTAAAGCAATTTATAGACAACATATTTTATCCTGATGTAATCTCTCATAAAAAACACTCTGATTCCAAGAATGGATACGCTTTCACATACATGTTTGTTATATGAATGCGTTATGTTTATTGAAATGTGGACAGAAATAAAAGAAAACGACATGTTTGTTTAAAAAGAGATATTTTTTGGTTCTTATTGTGTGTGAGAAATTTAAAGTGCATAAATAGTCTCTAACCCCGTCCATTTTTTACTGATAAAAAGGTGTTTTTCCCAGTCATGCACTTGTAAATTATGATAGTAACAATGAGAATGATGATGATGATGGTGATGATGATTTTCGTGATGATGACGATGACGATGATGACGATGACGATGATGATGATGGTGATGATAATGATGAGGATGGGTGGTGATGATGATGGTGATGATGATGATGGTGATGATGATGGTGATGATGATGATGATGATGGTGATGATGATGATGATGCCGATGATGATGGTGATGATGATGATGGTGATGATGATGATGGTGATAATGACGTACATGATGGTGATGATGATGGTGATGTTGATGATAATATATCTTTCCTCTTCAACATGATTTCCTATATTTGTGTAAGCAAACCTTAATAGACTTAATATAAGCAGATTCACTTTTTTCTTCTGGTCTTCTCGATCATGAAAGCTCCGTATTATTACTTTTACCCTGTTGTAGAAAATGTTCACACCAAAGTGTTTTGAATAGTCCCGACTAGTTTTGCAGAGATGTTGTTATTCATGCGCACCTATGGTATATGGGATAGGAAGACATGATAGATGAGAGAGAGAGAGAGAGAGATAGAGAGAGAGCGAAAACTTTTTGGGGGGAGGGCAGGGGGGGGGGGGGGGGAGATGGGGAGGGAGAGATCGAGGGGTTAATTGAGCGGTTGTGACACGATAGTATTCATCATTCAGGGAGGTGACGTAAAAAGGGCGCCTTCAAAGAGAAATCTCAAAGCGAAAGTATATAATTTTTAGACATTGTTATATACCCCTACATTGTGATTACATTATCAGAGATGATTTAAATATTTGTTTCTCTTAATAAATCATACAAGATATTGCTTAAAGTGACTCGGTAACATTGTTGAAGGTTGATGAAAAAATTGCTTAATTTTTGTATAAAATGTTACTTGCTATATTCCTTCTACTGTACTAACCCTCTGACATGCAAAAAGTCCTGAACAAATTCTCAAACCACGAAGATATCTATGGTTTTCTTTGAAGGCGTCAATGTATGACACCCTCTGACAGTGATTAACAGTAAATTCTCCCAACCATTTTTGAATTTTCCCAACCGTTTTTCCATGAAAAAAAACATAAAACAGGCTATAAAAAATCTGTCAACATTTAAATGTCTGGAATGGAATGGAGAGCCATTTTATTGCTTTGTGACTATTTACATTCACCTAAAATGTAATTAAATTGTAATAATATAGTTAGGAGAATTAAGGAATCGATCAGATCAGTTTTTGCCAATTTCCCAGTTTTCATTCAAATTTTCAGATAATCTTTAATTGCACATCTAGCATTGAAGTCACTACCTTAGCACCACTATCTCTCATCTGAACAATGTTACCAAGTCCCTTTAAGTATCATAATTTGTAGTTGGGTGTGATGGTCTGAATATTCATGACCGAGCGAAAAATTTAAGATCTGTGAGGTTGCAGTGCGAAAACATACATCTTGTAAAGAGGAAAAAACCCAATCATGATTGGTTACAATATCATACTCGTAACGGAAGACTGAAAAGGGCCTATTATATCATCTATAAATGCGAGCGAGCTTTGGCGGAAATTGCTCTTAGTCGCTTTAAATAAGGGGCGTGCTTAATGATGAAGGGGCAAAAGGACAGTTACCGAAATTAGGGATTAAGACACTTATTAGAAGAACAAAAGGAGCACGTGTCAAAGTCCAAAGGGTAATTATCAGAGGTGAAAATGGGGCACTTCTTACACCCGAAAAGGACACTCACCAGGGATGAAAAAAGGACCTTATTAGAATGGGAAAATGAACATTTGTCGACGGAAAAGGGGCACCCATCAGATTTTTATATGAGCATTTATAACAGGTAAAGAGGGGATATAATTCCCTTATTTAAAGGAAAGGGGGCACGTGTCCTTGTTAAAAGGTAAATTATCAGAGGTGAAAAGGGGCACTGACCAGATATAAAAAAGGGCACTTATGAGAATGAAAAAGGGCACTGATAATAAAGGAAAATATGCATTTGTTTAAAAAAAGGGGCACCGATCAGATTTTGATAGGGTCATTTATCGGAGGTGAAAGGGAGCTTTTATGATAAGGGGGAAAATGGCTCTTATTAAAAAGAAAACGAGGAAGGTGTTAAATAAAAGGGGCAGTTATTAGAGGTGAAAAGAGGCAATCATCAGAGATAAAATTAGCACCTATGAGAATGAAAAGGGATACTTTTTATAGGTGAAAAGGGGCATTTATGAAAAGGGAAAGAGTAACATGTGAAAATAAAAAAGGCGCGCTTATCCAAGTTAAAAAAAGGTAGTTATTAAAAGAAAAAGGGGCACCTCTTACAAAGGAAAAGGGACAATTGTCAAAATAAAAGGGGCACCTCTCATATTTGAATAGGGCAATTATCAGAGGTGAAGCGACATTTATCAAAAGTGAAAAGGGGCACTTCTCGTACATGAAAAGGGGCACTCACTAGAGATTAAAAAGGGCACTTATGAGAATGGAAAATGGACACTTATTGCAAAGGAAAATTGGAAAATGGGGCACGTGTGAAAATATAAGGGGCACTTATCAGAGGTGAAAAAGGGAAGGGGCACTTCCTACGTATAAAAAGGACGGTTCTAGGTCACCTACCCCTTGAACATCCACCCCTGGATAACCACCCCCAATCAAGTACCCCTTGGACAACTACCCCCAGATAACTACCCCTACGACAACCATCCTCTACGACAACTATCCTAGTGGGTAGTTGTTCGGGGACAGTTGTCCTGGGGGTAGTTGTCCTGGGGTAGTTGTCTGGGGGTGGTTGTCCGGTGGTAGTTGTCCTAGGGGGTAATTGGCCTAGGTGTTAGTTGTCCGGGGGTTGTTGTCCCGGGGGTTAGCCATCCTAGAGGGTGGTTGCCCTAGGCGGTAGTTGTCCTAGGGGGTAGTTGACTGGGGGTGGTTATCCGGGGGTGGATGTCCAGGGGGTAGGTGTCCGGATACGAAAAAGGATACTTCTTACAAAGTTAAACAGGCAGTTTTACTATGTAAAAAGAGGCACTTTCTAGATAATTGAAAACGTGTGGGGTTAACCCCCAAACACCCCCTGGCTACGCGCCTGGACATCGTACAAAACTTTTGATCATAGGCGGAGATCCCGAGGGGGGGGGGGGGGGGTATATCCCCCAATATTTGACCGAAGGGGGGGGGGGGTGGTCTATGTTATCATCCCCAATGGTATGCATATGTTTATGATGAAATGCTCACCGTGAAGGCTTAAAGGGCTTTCAGTTTCATGTTGCATAAATCCCAGCTATATGAGTCTATCTATACACAAACATACTCATAGGCCCATTATATAATTATTAGAGATAAACAGAACCCACTTGTCCGTGTGTTTCATATGACACAGGCCTATTAACCCATTAACCTGCTGTGTAAACAAATCTTAATTTTCTTAATTATTAAAAGCAGAATCTCTTTTTTCGTCTGGTCTTCTCGATCATGAAAGCTCAGTTTTATTAATTTTACCCTCGATTTACAAAATGTTCACAACAAAGTGTTTTGACTAGTCCTGAATAGTTTTGCATAAGTGCAGTTATTCATGCGCACCTATGGGAGGTGGGATGGGAAGACATGATAAATGAGAGAAAGAGAGAGAGAGAGAGGGAGAGAGAGAGAGAGAGAGAGAGAGGGGGTGGGGGAAGAGAGAGAGGTATGAGAGAGAGAGAGAGAGAGAGAGAGAGAGAGAGAGAGAGAGAGGAGGGGGTTGATTGTGTACCTCTCATCGGTGGCCTAATCACGGGGGAGTTCTGGCGTCCGTTTTCATTTGGGGGGGAGGGGCCGGTGGGGGAGGGGGGGGGGGGGTTGTGACACCATAGTATTCAGCATTTATGGGCGACCTACGCTGTATGTATAGATTGTCTAGAATCGAGGTGGGAGGGGGCCGGGTGTGACATAATTGTGTACAATCTCTGTTCTAGCTTGGGAGACAGACTTCGAGTCATGCAAATTAACAAAAGAATGCATGCATGATTTACTTTTTGATGAGACGCAGCCTTGCATGTACAAGGGATTAGGTGGAATTAAAACTGCTGAGCTTCGGTAATAACCACAGTTACTTGTTCACTTCAAAGTAATCCGATTGATCATTGCACGTTCATTGGAAGCTGTACGGTAACATTACCACTAGTGAGCTTGCGTCATGCATAGTTAAATCTATTACAACCAATCTATATATATTCGCTGTAGTAGGTAGGACTACAACGCAAGCTTTATACCCCCTTCACATACACAGATTTTTGCCAACTCGTAGGCAATCGCAAGGATCGGTAAATAACTCGTCACTACTCGCAATTTTTTGACAAGTCAAAAATCTCCTTACGATTGTCCACGGATTGATTTTTCCGTAAATAGCCCGTAAATAGCTCGTAACAATCCGTAAGTATCGTAAACCGCTCGCAACAACACTTAACCATCCGTAAACTGCTCGCAAGAATCCGTAATTTACTCGTAACAATTTTTTACTTTATTTGTTTTTATTTGTTACGGTTAGTTTACGATTTGTTTACGGATTAATTACGGATTATTACGAGTGCTTACGTGTTGTTTACGACTTCATTCGGGTATAGTGTACGTTACTATGGCTTTACGGATTGCTACGGGTTATTACGAGCACTTTACGTGTAGTTACCAGTACTTTACGAATAGATACGTATACTTTACGTATTCTTACGAACTGTATACGATTTGGCGAAAGGTGTTAAAGCTTCGTGTACTTCGTTTACAGTTGTTATTTTTTGGTTAAAAATCTTAGGACTATCTCGTTACTATTCGTATTGAACTACGAGCAACTAATACGTTAGTTGCTCGTAGTTAACCGTGACAACTCGTAACAAATCGTGGATTTTTGCCGTAAATACATCGTAATGACTCGTAATAATCCGTAATAACCTGTAAATAGCTAGTAATAACTCGTAACAACTCTCGAATCGATCGTAAAAGTGGCCAAATCGTAAGGATCCGTGAAAGATCCGTGTATTTGTGCGATCCGTAAGGACTCCGTCTATGTGAAGGGGGTATTAGCAGAGAAACGGCGGGCTATTTTAGGTAAGTTCACATTATATTTTATGCCGCATTTAGCGATAGTGGCAGATCAATGGGAGCGAAGTTTCATTCAATAATTATTAAAGAGAAAAAGACGATTCGTTGTACCGTTCTCGACTCTTAATCCTTGTCTGAATTTTCAAAAATAATATTTGATTATGCAGTGGCGTAAGATCAAAAACGTTTTTTTTTTTTTGGGGGGGGGGGGGGCAGAACAAAATTCGCATCACCACCCGACTCTTACATGTTACATACCTGCAGGCCCGTGGAACGTTTTTCAAAGTGGGCTGCTAAAGTATTTACGATCAGGTAGAGTGGAACGTCAAAATGGCGTTGGGGTCCAGGGGCATTACGGTCAGATGAGCAGTTCAGGGGCCCGCCTTAGAACCCCTAATTGGGTCCAGGGGGCAGAACCCCGGCAGCTAGGGGATTTAGGCGTTTAATTACCGTCAGATGAGCATCCAGTGGTCCGCCTTAGGGTCCTTGGTGGGGTCCGAGGGCAGAGACCACGCAAGCTCAGGGGTTTTAGACATTTAATTACGGTCAGATGAGCATATTTTGATACCTCATATTCATTACATGACACACACAAAAATAGTGTGGGGGGGGGCGGGCTCTGACACCTGGGCTTCTAAATAACTATATTTGTTGCCTGACTATAAATATGGGAATTTGTCATTTTCCAATAAACGCATAACGAGAAGAAGAAGAAAAAAAAGGAAAATTAAGTAATTTCAGCAACATTTGTAAATCGGTGGTATCGAAATAGAAATAAACCACGTTCGGGGGGGGGGGGGGGCAATAATTAGTACACCAGTGATATAAGATTTCGATTTTTGTTTTAACAATATCTTCAGAAATGAGCATCATGCATGTCATATATTGACGTTTAAATCAGCCAATCATCAAACAATCATCATTTTATCATAGGATATCCATTATTGCTTGCGGGAAATATGTTAGTCATTGTTTGCCACATTATTATAACTTATTTCTGGTATGAGAGCAGGCTTGTATCTATACTGGCTAGCAATTCCTACACGTCATCACCTCCCTGCTCAAAGTAGAATCCGTCTGGACCTCTTTTGCGAACTCAATAGTCATATTCTTGTGTAGGTACGCATGATATATGCAGGCGCGTAGCCAGGGGAGGGCGGTGGGGGCGGTCGCCCCCCCCCCCAAAAAAAAAAAAAAAAAAAAAAAAACGCCGGCCAAAAAAAAAAGAGAGAGAAAGAGAGAAAAAAAGTAAGAGGACGTAGGAAGAAAAAGGGAAAAGAGTCGAGAACGGTACAACGAATCGTCTTCTTAATAATGTCGAGCTGGACGAAAGGCGAATTGCGCTGGGCGGCTATAGAATTCAAAGCTCATTTCACAATCATATCCTTAAATAAAGGATAGTATATGATGCATGTTGTTTCCCCTTTATAATATTTTTGACAAAGTCTTTGTCATGTTTCTTTGTCTGCTCCTTTAACTTCCTACGCGCCTGGTACTATCTGCACTTTTCGTATTATAGCAAGACAAAATTTCATGTTTGAGGCATATTAACATGTTAAGCTGAACTTGGTATTGGATTGATAACACAATATTATCGCACAACGTACCCAAGCAATTAAACACACGATTTAATGTCTTGAAAAAGCCTTGGAACTTCTGGGAAATGTTAAGACCAAAGCTATATATATACAACACTAATTACTGATAATTAATAATTATCTGTCTCGCCCCCTCCCTCTCTCTCTTTCTCTTTCCCCTCCATTTCTATCAAGGTCTCTCCTTATCTCTCTCCCTCTCTCTCTCTTCTCTCTCTCTCGCTTTCTCTCTCTCTTTCTCGCTCTCGGTGAAAGGGGCGTGGTCTTATGAAGAAAGTTAGCTCAACGTCATCGACATGATGCGTGCGGATGCGTTCTGAAGATGCAAAAAGCTGTTAGAAGCCATACCTGAGCTGCAATGACCTACAAAAGTATGTATGCCATCCGTGTAACTGTACATATATCAGCATCTTCCCCGGTGAACACTAACCATTTCAATACCTACCCTCTCTGAGACATCAATGTTCTCCAATTCTGTTGAGTTAAAGTTTCTCTCTCCAGTTGGAAGAATGGATATCTGCAAACGAATAAATACTGCTCGTCGTACAATCTCCCCCGCCCTAACGCCGTCCCTCATTCCCAAGTTTTACATCCCGCGAAAGTGCAATCCCATTTCAACAGAGAAGAAGAGCAGTGGGGTATCCAGTTCATCCAGGAAGGTGAAAACGAACCATTCATTCTCAAGCTTGTCTGTTTCAATTATTAGCCCACTGACCTCAGCTACAGCGGCAATAAATAGAATTTGGAGAACACCTAAAATGTCGGTAGATATAGACAGACTGAACGCGATCAACAAGCTACATATGCTGTGTGTTAGACAGTTCTTTGAGGCGAGTACTCGAGATTTAGGCGAAATCGAACTCGCGCTCCAATACGATAGACGACGTCGACGACTACGCGTTCGTGTTCTTCAAGCAAACGGCGTCGGGCTAAGGAGCGCGTCGAGGAAAATCAACACCCATGTTCGACTTTGCCTCATGCCCGAAAAACAGAATCCTCAACAGACAAGGCTTGTCATAGGCACATGCGACCCGACGTACAACGAAGATTTTTTCTTCAACGTGCCTCCGTGTGAGCTTATTTCAAGTGGCCTCAAGGTTCGAGTCTTCCAGAGCTCAGGGCTTTTATTAAATAAGTGGCCTGCCTCTTGTGTCGGCGAGGTATTGTTGAACTTGGAACAGCTGAAAGACAACTCAAAAGAGATCTTCATTCGAGAGGATCTGAAGCCCAAAGCAGCTAAGGAGGTTAGTATTATCGTCTGACTAAACTTTCTTGTTAATGCTTATTGGGTCATTAAATTATGTTTGTTTTTGAAAATCAAACGGGCGAATGCTTGAAAGCGCAAAAAGTATGACATTCTTGATTATTATAGCATAAAGATGGCGTATACATTCATGTAGCTACTATAAAACTTTTTCTCGAGGGAGTGGGTGGGGGTGATTCTTTGCTAACCCACTTATGAAATGGTTTTGTTGATCTGCTTGCATATTATAACCTCATCAAATTCAATGCCAATATAAATCAAAATCAACAATGAATGTTCATTTGTGTTTTTGTTTTCAATCTTAGGATACGGGTATACTGAACGTCTCTATCTGTTATCGCTCGAGGATTCGGAAGCTGTGTATCACGGTCATTCGGGCCCAGAATCTCTCCAAAACAGGCTTCTGCAAAACGTCACCTGGTAAGTCATTTTTAGTTCTCTTATTCATTTTGTAATCAGCACAAATATTCCTTTTTTTAACATAACGCATGATGCAGACATATGTCACGTCTTCAATATGTGGACACTTTAATGAATCAATTTGCCAAAAATGAAATAATGGAGGACACAGAAATAGGATTGTGTGTATAGAGATAAAATGGTGTACACCGAAGAAGGTATCACATAACGTGCAAAGGATATTTGCTAAAATTAAAAATGTACTCCTTCATAATTATCAAGACATTATGCAATTTATTGCATGGACATGACAAGCTAAGCTTCATCCTTGTTTTTGACAAGTACAAAAGAGCAGCTTAATCTTAAGATTGAAAGAAAAAAAACAAACATACAAAATGCTCATTAGTTCTGCAGTTTTAAACGTAGGCTTCCGTAGGATTATCAGTCTGTAATTACGGAGCTCATGCCATAAACCACCTTATTTTTAGTTTCATTTTGAGTGCAGAGGAGTTCACAAATATGTATGCTTTCACCTCTGGGGCTCGTTAATAATTCATTGAGTCATACAACTACCAGATCTTCCAAATCTGTGGATATTATAATTGATGCCATTGGGAAAAAAAACTCGCGGTCGAAACGGAATTGTTTACGACTAACAATTCCGTGCATCGGATTTTTTTTGTTGCCTTTTTATAATAGGGAATCACGGTCATTATTGAAATGTAATTAAGAATGATTATATTTTCTACCATTCTTTGATAATGATGTTCACGAAAGAAGTATGTACATAGATTAATAATGCAACATCATTATTAATGTACCGAGTTTGGTAATGCACTGCTTTGTTTTTTATGTTTCATTTTTATGTATGTAATATGAGAAAGCGGAAATAAATTTGTACAATTGAACCATAAATACCGGAAGAATGTTACTACGTGAATGACTTTGGCAAAGCTGTTTTCTAATTCTGCCGACTTTGGTTCGTATTATACGGATTCATTTAAACCAAATTGCCCGGTGTGTGATATGACGTAAAACAAAAGGAAACCTTAGACTAACTTCCTTTGTTTTAAACTCGAGTTTGAACAAAATGACTAAACCCAGCGTCGGGTTATAATTCTTGTAGGATATAGGCCATAGACTTTTTTTACTCTTGGTTTTATTGCTCATAATTATGTTATAAAATCCTTCAAACAGAATACAATATAGAAACAATATCAATAACAATATATCCGTCACCTCTCTCTCTCGCTTACAGATTGTCGAATCAAAGTTGCAGTCACCCAAGTAAAGGACAACGCCCTCAGCACGGTCGTCAAGCGAACCCGTGTTCGACGACATACCCGTCAACCCGTCTTCAAGGAATCGATGTCGTTCGAGATCAACGACCTCAACAATCTTCGTGACGGAATGACGGTGGTGTGCTCGCTGTCGGGCAAGAGCCTTACCGGTAAACCTCAGACACTCGGACAGGTGCGATTCGGGCTAGGTGCCTCGAGAGAAACGGAGAAACTGCAATGGGCGAACGTGCTTCGAAATCCAGGACTTTCTATCACCCAATGGCACACTCTTTAGAAGAATGACAGTCATACTTTGTGGACAACGGGAGTAGTAATGATGGCTTCAATCAACGAACTTTTCCGAAGCCGATGACATTCAAAATGAATTATTCTTCGCATCGAAGAACATTCTGCATGAAAGTGGCGAATATCAGGAGTATGTCAAATTGTCCATAGTGGTTCCAAACATCGGGTGCCTGTTTCTATTTTCCAGCAGACTGGGCAAGATACTATTGGACCTGTGTTCTGGCTGATCCACGCCTACAATTCCTTGATCTATGCATCCGAACATTTTCTCTCTGGAAAAGAAATTTGTCAAACAGAAACGTTTATCTTTGTCTTGCCTTTAAATTGTAACCAATATTTCACTCAACATTTGAGTGAATCATAACATACTGTGTATGTATGCATATTAAATCGATTTGAAAGATTTCAAACTTAACTCTTATGCTTTTTATTGTTCCTGATTGATTCGACGTGACTTTGTCTCCAAACTAATATTCCATATTTCTGAGAAAATCAAGTCCTTTGTCCATAGGACGTACCGTTTTTTTTTTTTTTAACGTCAGTGGTGATGGTAAAACTGATAAAAGTTTAAATTCCATACCACCAATAATATCCAATCGTCAGGATATTACCATGCTTTATATATTTATTTCGCCTGATACCATGGAAACGAAAAATAAAAAGAAAGCGACTATAGTATAGAAAGTGGGGCAGGGAGAGAGAGAGTGAGTGAGTGAGTGAGTGAGAGATAGAGAAAAAGAGGGAGACAGAAAGGGAGAGAGAGAGAGAGAGAGAGTGAGAGAAGAGGAAAGAGGAAGAGACAGAAAAGGAAACAGAAGGGTAGGGGATTAAGAAGAGTCGAGAAAGAGAGGGGGATGTGGGAGAGAGGAACGAGGTATAGGTGTTTTTTCCACATATTATTGGGATCCTTTAGCTAGAACCGGAGGCGGCGCTCCGGGGGGGGGGGGGGCACAGTGCCCCCACTTTTTCAAGAAACCCAAAGTGCCCCTTTTTACATAGGAAAAGTGCCCCTTTAGCTTTGTAAGAAGTGCCCCTTTTTACATACAAAGTGCCCATTTTACTTTTACAAGTGCCCCTATTAATGTTTAAAAGTGCCCCTTCCCCTTTCCACCTCTGATAAGTGCCCCTTTTATTTTGACACGTGCCCCTTTTCCTTCGACAAGTTACAATTTTTTTTGCAATAAGTGTCCATTTTCCATTCTCATAAGTGCCCTTTTTAATCTCTAGTAAGTGCCCCTTTTCAGGTACGAGAAGCGCTCCTTTTTCACTTTTGATAAGCGCCCCCTTCACCTTTGATAATTGCCCTATTCAAATCTGAGAGAGGCCCCTTTTACTTTGACAAGTGCCATTTCCCCCTTTTAATAACTAACCCTTTCTAACTCGGATAAGCGCACCTTATATTTTCACATGTGCCCCCTTTCCTTATGATAAGTGCCCCCATTTAAAAAAGAGCCCTTCCCCTTCTCATAAATGCCCCTTTTCCCCTATGCAAATAGTCCCTTTCCATTCTCATAAGTGCTCCTTTTCTTTTCTGGTAAACACCCCTATTAAAATCTGATCGGTTCCCCTTTTCTTTCAACAAATGCACATTTTCCTTTATCATTAGTGCCCCCTTTTCATTCTCCTAAGTGTCTCTTTCATCCCTGGTGAGTGCCCCTTTTTAAGGTGTAAGAAGTGCCCCATTTTCACCTATGATAATTACTCGTTGTACTTTGACACGTGCTCCTTTTCTTTTCTAATAAGTGTCATCCTTTTCGATAAGTGTCCCCTTTTCCTCTAATCATTAAACGTGCCCCTAATTTCAAGCGACTAAAAGCAATATCCTCCAAAGATCGCTCGCTACGCTCGCTCGCATTTATAGATGTCATAATTATGTTACTTATCAAAAGTCTTTTCAGTCTTCTGTTATGAGAATGTGCTTATAACCCAATCAGGATTGGGTTTTTCCTCTTTATAAGATGTATTTTTTCGCTCTGCGACCTCACAAATCTTAATTTTTTTCCTCGCTCTCTTTGCTCGTCGCAAATGAATTTTCAGACCATCACACCGGACTGCAAGGTATGATGCTTAAGCAATATCTTATACGATGTAAAAAGAGAAACAAATATTGAAATCATCCCAGATCATGTAATCACAATTATAGGGGTATATACCAATGTCTAAAAAATTGTATATTTTCGCTTTGAGATTTCCCTTTGGAGGTTCCCCCTTTACCCGGAAAGTGCCCTTTTTTGTTGGTGCCCCCCCCCCACTTTGGAAGTCGCTCCGCCGCCTCTGGCTAGAACTGTCTACGGAAATTGAAATTGGACACGTAGCCCCATCTCCCCCTCCCCGAATGCAGAAAGGGAGGGTTGAGAAAGAGTGAGAAAGGAGATAGCATGATTATAAAAGGCAGCGTGAAAAACCCCAAAACAAATTAAGCCAATCGGTGCCCCCCCCCCATGACAATAATGGCCCCTCAATGAATGGAAACCATTCTGCGCCATTGAAGTCTATATAATTGTAATTATTTTCCCTCTATACTTCTCCGCGTCGTTAAATACACTCACTTAAGGTCCCTGGACTAGTTATGATGATGATGAAGATCATGATGATGATGAAAATAATGATGAAAATAATAATGATAGTAATAATAATCGGATTATTAAGGAGTGCGTAAGGTAGGATGGGGCTTCATAAGATCCGGCCACCTCCAAGGATATCCGAGGAGTTCCGGCAAACAACGGAGAGTTCCGAGCAGTTCAAAACGTCCGTGGCGGTGCTATACTATATGGTTTCACGTTGTTGGACAACTTCCTAGACATTGACCTTATTTTAATTTATAATAAGTGCCCCTCTTCCCTTCTCAGAAGGTTTCCTATTCATCTTAGATAAGTGCCCCTTTTCAGGTACAAGAGGTGCCTTTTTTATTTGAAAAGTACCTCTTTTCCTTTCTAATAAGGTCCGCCAACTCTCTCTCTCTCTCTCTCTCTCTCTCCGTTTTTCTCTTTAATCTCTCTCTCTCTCCAGTGTCCATATACCAGCCTGTTCAGCTCACCTCTCACAACCATTCCTTTCGGATCTCCTTGTCCTTTAGTTTGCATACATGTATTGGTTAGTGCATATGGGGGGGGGGGGGTGTTTCACAAAGACTAAGATTGACTTTAAGTTGGACTTAACTATGGAAAAAAAAATTCATGCCACTGTTTGCTCTCACCATTTGCTGGAATTGGTCTCTCTGTCTCAAAGGTCGTAATCATGATCACCAGTCTACAGAATTTACATTTTTTGATAATTCATTATTGAAGGAAAATATATTATCTAAAGATCATTATTGAGAGATCAATGGTGAGAGCAACCAGTGGCATAAATAGCCTGTCATAGTTAAGTCCAACTTAAAGTCGATCTTAGCCTTTGTGAAACACCAACCAGGACTTATTATTATAACTCCTATAGTCCTGGCCATGGTCAAATGAATCCTCTCCAATACTTATTGACATTACTTAAACTAGTGATTAGTTTAATACCCAACATTATCTTTGGCACATTTAAAAATGTTAATTGAATAATTATTGTATGACGATATCATTATCATATTACGTTTGTAATTCGTTGGGTTTGATATATTTTATCTGATTTGGTTACTTGTAATGACAGACAATATCAGCCTCGATCAAGCTGCACGAGAATGATCTTGCCCCGTTTGCTTAACCGAATTTAGCTCAATTTAAAAACAAGAACGTTAATTCCGGGGATTGCTACGTTTAAGGTCCCTTGTTTACTTCAAAAGTATTGTCTTCACCATACGCATTATCGAGTACAATACAGTCATTAAGATTATATATATATATTAGTTGGTATATATCATACATATCCTCCTCCTCCACATCTATTATCCAGGATTATCATCATACGGTTTCATAAGAATTAATTTCCGAATTGAACATAATTTTTTAGACATATCACCTAGGATATCAATAGCACATCACATCATATGGTTTCGCTGGACACAACATCATTATCAGAAAAGAAGAAAACATTAACTCGGAAGTCGAACAGCCAGTTTTGAATACTACACTGCCACGTGTAAAAGGACGTCACATTGCCTTAAAAGGATGTCACACCCGGTGTCACACATGGCAGTCCACGTTCTCCTCGTGCACATTTATAAGTCCCTAATATCTCTCACACAGGGATGTTCGACATGTATCAACAAGGGACAAAATCATTCAAACCAACTTTAATTTCACATGATAATATATATAAATTTCTTTATTACGGTTTCAACTTCAAGTTAACGATCGCCAGAGATCGAGTTGCAATTTGATATTTCTTATAAGAGTCATAAAACCACGCATCCAAGCAAGATTTTGCTCTACACTGTCTTGTACATTTACTTACAATCGTATTTATGAGCAGCCCCCTCTTAGGTTTTTTATGACATCGAACGAGGCAGGTACACTACAAAAGCGATATTTTGTTCCTCCATCCCTCTCTATCTTTAGCCTTCTTCTAGAAGATTTTCACTCATCAAGTCTGACATTTAAGCTATACAACTTTGAGCTTATACATAGATAGATAATTATCACTCTATGAAAAATATAATTACCATTCAACAAATGGACATCAATGGGAATCATGTTAAGACGATTGTGATCATTCAAACTGTTTTTTATGACATTTCCTAAAAGAGGGCATGCCCTCCTGGGGCCCGTTGCATGAAACTTACCATTCATGGTAACTTTGCCATCAATGGCAACTACAATGGTATCAGGGCTCAACAGCCAATCAAAATCAAGGATTCCATGGTAGTTACCATTCATGGAACAGTTACCATCAATGGTAAGTTTTGTGCAACGGGGCCCAGGTGCCCATTATAGAGTATATATATCTATATATATATATATATATATATTGACTTCTATGAGAGGCATCGCTGTTTATATAGGCTCAAGGGAACATCCTGCTATGACCCCGGTATTTTCATTAGGGCCCATCGGAGCCATTGATTCGGAGAGTTTTTGCCAACCCGGTTCGATCGAGTTGGGCAAAATATGGCGAATACTGCTGTGTTGGACAAGTACAAAACAAAAGAATACACGCCATGTTGCTACACAATACACCAGTTAACAGTTGTATCAGTACGCATGCGCAGACATGGGCGCCATTTTAAATGGCGAGTAAACAAAGCCAATGACCCGAGGTCACGTCAGTGGTATTTAGGCTAAGCGTAAATTAAGATTGCGCCCATGCAAATTTTGATATCACTGCCTGCGCGCTGCGCTGTGCGCTCACATCGTAATTTGCATGGGCGCAATCTTAATTTACGCACAAACCAAATGACTTCTAGGTCATTGGCTTTGTTTACTCGCAAATTAAAATGGCGCACACAACTGTAAACTGGTATATTGAGGAAAGATCATCTTTATCATATTAAAGATGCATCCATGAAATAAAATCGGTCCACGTGTATGACCGTGTCATTCCAGAGATAAAAAATGAGAAATAATGATGATCATAAATTACTGTCGAGCACAAGATTCCTTGAATTATTTTTTAAATGTCAAACACAACTTTTCCAATTTTGTTCAATTATCACCCAGAATTTAACTACTCATCCCGTACGCCAACATGACAAAATTGCATAGTACAGGCAATACAAATATATGGTACAAGATACTAGCATATATTAAAGCATTAGATGAAGCTGGAAGTACTGGTATTTATCAGAAGGAAATGAAATACATGAGGTTGCTACATTACATATACTGTACAACATAAAATTAGTTTCCAGACAGAAAATCCGTTTTTCATTACAGTGCTAACTATTTACAGACAGGAGAAGAGCATAAGAACTGTTCTTATTTGAAATAATATTCTATAATAGCCTATGTTACCATAGACAATGGAACAAATAATATCTTGACCAACAGTAAATTGGCACCTTTAAACACATATATAGTTACGTAAACAAAAATTATTACAAACAAATTGTTAAGAGGGTTCTTGCACAATGTTATGTTTTTCAGACTTGAAAATCCTGGTGCTCTTGGACTCGAAGAATAGGTGAATTTTCATTGCCATAAAACTCTATTTTCAAAAGGACATCCGCAAAGACACTAATGTACCTTCACACCAATTCTTTAGACGAAAAAAAGAGAAATCAAAATCCTAAGTACTACATGCCCACGTTTGAATTGGTATTTCTAATATCATTTTCAAAGAAACAGATACGAACAGGAAATAATGGTGATTGAATAATTATTATTTACTTGATCAAACAAAGGGAGTGGGCTAAAATGGGGGCAATGCATAACAAAACTTCCCAAAGTAGTGGGAGAGAGAAGGGGGAGGGAAAGGAAAGACATTATAGGCCTATAATCACCAAAGACACAAAGATTAGTCCTCCTTGCCCTATTTGTTTGGCTTCATTTGGCACAGATTTCATCAAAATAACGTCCAGATGTTCTATCTTTATAAATCGACGTTGAAATGTCGTCAGACTATTGAAAAGGAAAGATTAACGATTGATTAGTGGGTGTAATGATAGCCCTTCTGTTTTTTTTTTTTTTAAACAACAACAAACTCATTTTATTAAGGATTGACGTTATACTCTTCAAGGTTTATTTTGTTTATTGGAGAAAATAATGACCAAACTGTCCTTGCAATTTTCAGTGACATTTATGTTATCTGTCGAGAAATCAAAATCGTTCGAGAAATGAAGGAGAAGAAGCATTTTTTGTGATTTTGAATAAATTTGCATAAATTAGCATAGATAATGAATTTCACGATTCAGTGTAGAAGTTTTAAATCCCCCTCCTAGCCCTATCATATGAAACAATCAGAATCAAAATCGGTTGAAAAATAACGAAGAAGAAGCATTTTGAAAATCTTGATGTTGATGCCACAACAAAGTCTAAGTTTGTTGACCTTAAATGACCTTTGACCTTAACTAAGTGACCTGAAATTCTACTCACATGATTGGGGAGACTTGATAACCCTATAGTTTAAGTTTCATTGACTAAGAACTTATACTTTCAAAATTATATAAAAAATTCAAAAACTTAACCTTAGGTTAAGTTTTCGGTGATGATGCTACAACATAGTCCAAGTCTGTTGACCTGAAATGACCTTTGACCTTGACTTTGTGATCTAATTCTACTCACATGATTGGGGATACTTGATTACTCTATAGTCAAAGTTTCATTGACTAAGAACCTATAATTTAAAAATTGTATCAACAATTCAAAAACTTAACCTTAGGTTAAGTTTTTGATGTTGACGCAGCCGCCGCCGCCGTCGCCGGAAAAGCGGCGGCTATGTCTCGCTTTTTGCTACGCAGGCGAGACAAAAATTATATTAAAAAAAATCAAAACATTACTTCGAGAACAACGAAATACTTCAAAGGCAACTACTTTCGAAAAGTCAACCTAAGACAATTTCAAAAGCCTGGTGCGTCACCTATTGAATTGTGCGAACATGACAATGAAGTATTACATAATCTGAACATGATTTCTATGGGACATACAATAGGACATGGCCTTGAGTTGATTTTCCGAAAAGAGTTAAGATCATGTTATATTTCCTGTTTTTTCTTTGTATATGACCAAATGATATGTCAGCGATTAAGAAAGTCATATTTTAATGAATTTTACTCAGCCTGATTGACAGAAAATTTGGACAGTCCTATACATGTGTAAAGCACCATACATGAATAAAAATATAAAATCTAGGAAAGCACAAAAAGTATATCGTGCATGATACAATCCATACGGGAGAATACACCTTACACCCACAAGCAAATTATTTCAGAACTGAATAGTGATAGTCTAATGACATCACACAAATGTATTTGGCAGTAATGTGTATTTATGAAAATGAACTTGCATTACATAATAGTACAGGATATTACTACATCAGATAGAAATGTATATGCACCTTCAAAAGTCTGAAAACAAATTTTATGTATTTTTTACATGACAATAAATTATCTTAAATCTTGAATATTGTACATAAAGCCCACTGAAAGGGTCTACATGTATGGTCCTAGGTGAAATTAGATACAGGTATCCACAAAAGAAACGGTTGAACCCAAACTGTAATGTTATCATCCTGCACTATGAACAGGAGACTTAGAAAAAATTATCAAAAATGTACAGGTTACAGACCATTAGACTGACGGCCACACAAGACCAATGTCCCAAGTTACAGACGGCCCATGAGACCGACAAACCATTAGACCGACGGCCCATGCAACCAATAGACCATGAGATTGACAAGCCCAAGAGAACGACGACAGCCAATGAGACTGACAAACCAATGAGACCGACGGCCCATGACACCAATAGGCCATGAGACCGATATCCCAAGAGACTTATAGCCCATACGACTGGCATCCTACAAGACCAAAATATCGCACTGAGACACCTTCATCAAGGCAACTTTTACAGGGATTCATGAGACTGGCACTGTTGGTCTCTTAAGCTGTCTGTTTTGCTGTTTGTCTACCAAGAATGTCCTCGAGTGACATCCTCAAAGGAATCCGAGTTGCTTATTAAAATCAAAAGTAACATTATAAACAGGGAGTTTCAAACAAATAAATAGGAGAATACATATAAACATCACAAAACTTACAAGGTTTCAAGTATCAATCAATGTGAGAAAACATGTGCCTATCAATATGATATAAACATACCAAGGTTGTCTATGATGATACACATGAACAAACATGCATCAGAAGAGCATTATAAAAACAAAACGGGAAGAGCTAAGAGCAAAACTGACGTCTCTATCATTTCTTTTGACCACATTCAAGGTTCAAACAGACACTTACATAAAGTCATAAACAACTTTCATAAAACGCTGAGCGTCCTTCACAAGCATTTAAAAACACGTTCATACATATCTGATATAGCAGTTTATGAATACAAAATGATTTTGAGCTAAAAATACAAAAATAGTGTTTGTCTTTTTACAGCAGTACTGAACATTTTAAACAGAGCTTACACCACATGTAAATCCTGAAGAGCATTCAACATTACATCCACAACTATTTTGTACCCCAAGACAGGGATCTGCACATTTACAGTTCCCTGCCCAAGAGTTACGTACCTTACTGGTTTCAGCCAAAAAATCTCAAGCTCGATAGATGAAATACATGGGGTCGATTATAACTTATGAATATACTGCAAAACCATGAATTTTCAGCCCTTTTGGGACATGAATCTCCTGAAATTTGTTAAGAATGGCCATTTTTTTGCAGCGAGACAGTTTTACATCTGTAATTGCAAGTTGTCTTGGTTGTGCTTCCATTATTTCACAACATGAAACTTTTGCAAATCTGAACCACTAGAAAAAAAATATGAACATTTCATACATTGTACATCCAAAAGTTTCTGGTTCACAAAATAAATTTAAGAAACCTTATGCACATTACAGAGAGTTGTAAAAAATGTAGTTAAATTTGGCCCTTTCTGGTACTTGAAGTTGGTGAAAATTAGCAGTGAACTTTTAGGAAAAAAATATTCACTTGACATAACCTGATGGAGTTTGATAGTTTCAGTAAATCAAAAACTTGTAAGCTTCTACAAAACAGAAGCATGTCCACAATGTATTCCTTTTCAAAGCTTCAACTTAACTGAATGACTCACTTTATATAAAAGGCATAAATATGAATTACAAAAATGACAAATATAGATTAACAATTTCTACAATAGTAATGGATAGTACTTCTATGGATGATGAGCTGTGGGGCACCATGTTGAATTTAAAATCAGCACAAAGTTACATCATGATAAATATAAACATCTCACCTATTGTCTGCTGAGAGCCAGAAGGGCATTAACTCATATTAAGCAAAGAGTTGATGCCCTTCTGCTTCTTAACGGACATTAAATACTAACTGCAGCACCATTCTAATTCAGCACTTTAAAAGCACTGTTAAATTAATTTACATTGTACAACATTTACAAATAAATAAAGGATGGCTCCATATTGGTAAGATCCTCCTCTAGAATCTAGACCCAGTACTGACTTTTCTTCAAAGTAGGGCTTCTTGCTCCCGTGGGATGACGAGCGGCCGTATCAGGGTCACACCCTGTCCAGTTGGAGAAGGCGGACGACGATTGAAAGGTCCCATGGGACGTTAGGCTTGCATAAGAGTTGACGGGCGATGGGGGTCTTCCTAGGGGAGTAACTTTGACCTGGGGGACCATGGGGCTCTGGATTGGTCTACGGATCATCGGCTGGGTCACTGCACTGCTGTCGTATGATTTCTCAGAGGGCGTGGCCTGGGATGGCAGTGATGGCTCAGGGGCTATGGCAGGAGCCGATGTGACTGTCTCCGGTAAGTTCTCCTCCGGCAGCGGCGCTGGCTTCAGCTCCTCTTTTTTCCGATGCCGCCTCTTCCAGAGAATGAATACCAATATGATGATAATGACGATGAAGATGATTGCGATGGAGAGGGCAATGTATATGATGGATAATGAGCCTTTGTTGTCGACAGCCTTGGCGCTGGGATCCCCACCATCTGGAGATGTTGATGCTGTTGTTAACCCATCAAAATCAAAGGGATCATCTCTTGCCGGCAAATTCCCTTGGTCGAATGTATTTATTCTAATCACTGCCTCTGTTGTTGTCAGCAGCTGTGTGGTGCTCTCTATAATCCCAGGTCCAATCACAACTCCAATTGATATACTCACAGGTTGTGACCCCTCTGCTTGTAGCACCATGGTAATGTTATCAATCAGAGTATCATTTTCTGCTATGTCCAAACGTTCAGCCCTGTACACAACATCACCCATGTCAAGATCATGCAAATAAAACAGGAGAAGTTCCTCGCCCGAGGTTGAATTAACGACCGTTCCGAATTCTGGGGCTTCAATGATTGTAAAACGAGGAGACTCTCCAGTCTTCATAGCTAGTAATGTTGCATTTAAATTGGATTTCATTAGAGGCACATCACCTCCACTTAACGCTTCTATGCTAGTAATAACAATCAAGGGTTCAACAGTAACATAAAGGCTTATACCAGGTATAACATTGTAGTCATCAAACAATGTCAGCTGGAAATGATCTTGATCAGAAGCTAGGTCGGTTTGGTGATATTCTACCATTCCCAGTTCAATATCGCTTTGAGTAAACTGCATTGCAGGAATGGTGTTTACTCTGATTTCACCAAAGCTAGCTGGACTTGTGACGTTGTAGTAAGAAATGGATGAATTGCCATTACTGGATATGTTCAGATGTTCGTCAGTCAAGATGGCCATGCTGTCCCCTTGAGTAAGAACAACAGGTGCGACGGAAGTCAAGGCTAGAACACGCGGCACAACATCAATGAAGAATTGCTTGATTTGATAGTGCTTACCGTCGTTGATTCTGAATGTAAACGCTCCAAGGGTTGAACCTCCATCATGGATGAAATGCAGCAGGTTTCCATTGATGTCTGCTTGAGTGAAGGTCTTCACACTGACGCTTGGATCAAAAATGTCGACGATCCTCCCGTTGGTTGGCCCTTGTATGATCTTATAGTCAAGTTCTGAGGGAGGATTATCAGGATCTGTGATGTTGAGGAATCGGTCATTGAATACAACCTGTTCGCCTTGCACAATAGCCATTCTCAAGGAAGTTGTCACAACAATGAATGCCTGATCATTGACAGGCAAGACCTTAATCTTGAAGATGCCCTCTGCACTTGGTGTTACTGCACCCTCTGCTGCAGCTGCTGCAGCTCCAAATAACTTGATTGATGCTGAGAAGTTAAAGGAATCCCTGAGTGTGTCTGAATGGTCATGGGCATACACCAACTCCTGTGTGGACAGTTCAGTATGGATGAAGGAACCTCCAGTGGTTATGTTTCTTCCAGATAGGCTTAGAAATCCATGTTGAGGTGCCTTGGTCACTGTGTATTGTACATACCCTGGTAGTCCTGTCAAAAGGATGCTTGCATCAAGGTTTTCTGCTGTGATCGTCACCCTTTCCCCCTCGGATACCTCAACTCCTGTGTTGATGATTCCTGAACCGTCGTCTGTGGTCATTGTCGCGTCTGGTACAGACGTGGTACTGGGGATGGGCAAAGGAGTTGAGGGGGAAGCTTCAATTGGAATGTGGAGTTGAAAAACTATATTTGAAAAGTTTTGTGAAAGTGGGAGAAAGACATTAAATTGAAAACTGTCTTCTGAAAGAGTTGATGAATTGTCATGTTTGAAGGCTATCAGGCCACTGTCAATATCCTCCTGAGTAAAAACAGATGTTGTCGAATAGCTCAAGGTGTCTGTAGCAGAATCCTTTGAAAGAATCTTTACAATCTCACCACTAACAGGCTCAGCAGTAACAACAAACGTTATTGGACGACTAAGTTCAGTGGGGGGATCTTCATTGGTTACCACACGCAAGTGCTCTGCTGCGATTGGTTGAATCCTTCCTGGTGTTACAGCGAGTTGGGAATGGTTGGCAAGAGTCAGGAGAAGAGGGGATGCTCTGATGGAGAAGATCTGCTGCTGGGTAGTATGAACACCATCACTAACTTGGAAACGAAAACCACCAGTTCTGGATCCTGAAACATCAAAGGCAAACAATAATACACAATAAGTAGAAATTTGTAGATGCAAAGATTTTCAGATAAAGCTTAAAATTACTACATTTTTTTCTACTATCTTCACACTTCTGGGTTTCATCTACCAGCAAAACCTTTCATAGAGAATGTAATCTAGTGCAGATAATTGTTATTGTAGTAGTACTTCACTGGTTCTACAGCAAAAGTTATGTATGTATTTGCAAGAAAATATGTAACAAATAGGAATGCTTGAAAGGGAAAGTGCACCCTGATATTTAAAGTTTTATTCCAGCATAAAGTAATGAGTTCAGAGATGATATCAATTCTTCTTTAGATAAATGAAACTGATATTTTTGACCAGTTGCATATGAATGAAGATTCAAATTTAGAATAAACATTATTACAAGTACCATACACGTATAACCAACTCATTTTAATCTTTCTTATGCATGAGCAAGAGATAAAAACAAAGAAAATTTTAAAGTTGAAAAGTAAAAGAAAACGGTGGGGGGGGGGGGGGGGGTGGAAACTTGAAATACATAAATAGACATTCAAAGTACCTTGATGAACAAAGAGAACATATCCAGTAGAAAGATCAGCTTGGGAAAATGACAAGATGGGTTCTTCCTTCCTGCTCCGGTACACCAACATGCCATTCCCTGGGTTGGTGATGGTGTAGGTCAAGTTGGTATCTGGTGTATCAGGATCGGAGGCACTCAAAGATGCATTCGTCACAGGAGTGAGTGCCCCCATGATTGCCGCAAGCCCCTCATTGACATCAACTGTGGGTGGTTGATCATTTGTCTGGATGACAGTGATGTTCAGGAAGTAAGCACTGCTGTGTTTTCCCTCTGTGTTATTGAGCATGATCCTGAAGCGATCGGAAGCTTGCTCCGACCCGTCATGGACATAATATATGAATTCATTCACCATGTCCTGGGTGGTAAAGGTCTTCAGGTTGATACCTGGTTGCCGGGTGTTCTCGATGATGCCATGCATTGGACTATCCAGAATGTGGACAGTGAACTGAAGCGGTTCATACAGTGGGTGTCCAACTCCTATGATGTCGGATGTGATGGTCTTGGATCTCTCCTCTAGGACCGTGAAATCATGAACATCGAGAGGAACGATGGACGGAGCAATGTCAATGGTCATTGTTAGGTTTGTCAATGTCTTATAACCATTGCTGACTTCAAAGGAAAATTCATCAATGAGCTGTGAATAGTCTGTCTGGATGTAGCTAACATGTTCTCGGCTCACATCCTGCTGGGTGAAGGTCATGTCAGAATCCTCAGTCTCCCTCCGTCTTCGTCCAGAGTCCTCTGGAAGCGGTGGCGATCTGCTGATGATGATGCCATATTCGTTCCTCAGTCTTAGCTCTCCGTACTTGGGTGGTGAGACGACCTTATACACAATCTCTGTTGCAAGGTGATTGGGATGAGAAATTTTCAAGTTTAACTTGGTCAAAACTACTTCCTTTCCTACCTCCATAATTACAGGTTGTATTTTCTCCACTGTGGGCAGCTGCTCCTGGCTTGCCACAATAATTCTTATCACAAACTGTCCTTGACTTTCAAGTCCTTTTGTAGAAACCGTGAAATTAAATGAGTCCATTAGATCACTACTCTCATTGTTATGATGGTAAGATATTGCTCCATTATCAAGGCTTTCTTGGGTGAATTGCTGGATGACAACTCCTTCTGCTTTTAAAACACCGTGCATAAGGAATGATGTAACCCGGTAGTCAATATTTCTAGCTTTGACATTGAAGTTTGTCTCTGCTGTTAGATTAGCACTGGTAATTATTTCAACCTGGCCTTTGGCGACCTGAAGACCAGTGTCAACTGCTACACGCACATACGACTCAATAGCTAGGATACGCAGAAAACCAGCGACATAATGCTTCCTGTTTTCATCAAGGACAAGGAATAACATTCTCGTGTTCTTTGTGTCTCCTTGGTGTTTAAATGTAACTTTTCCTGCAAGAAGATCCCTCTGTGAAAATTTCAAAATAGATTCTGTAGGATTGTTTGTCTTGACTAGATCACCTGCATCGATTTTCTGTCGAGTGTACAGCAGATCATCATTATCGAAATCAGAATCTGCATCGGTGTACAAGATGTCTTCTCCTGTAAGGACAGTCCTTCCATTCATTATGACATTAAAAACCTTGTCAATGACACGTTGAGGGGAATTGTCATTCTGTAGCTCGACTGAAATGTTTACTCTCCCCGTCCAGTTTGCTTGTTTCCTACGGCCTAATCTATCATTGAAAGAGGCAGTCGCGTTCACTTCAAGATAGTCATACGTAGTCTCAGAATCATCATGAACATATTGAAGTGCCTCTCTTGTTATATCTAAATTCAGAAAAGACGTCACGTTCTGAACGACAATGCTACTTGAAGCTGGATCTCTCATCTGAAATCTTCCATACAACGGGAACGACGTGATTGTATAGGAAAAATCTGATGTGGCTCCAGATTCTAAAAATAGATCCGATGCTGTCAGAATGTAAGAACCTCCTTCCTGAACAGAAAAGCCATTATTAGTCACACCAACCTCCTGAGAGTCTGCAAAATATGTTATCTTAAATTCTTTGGCATCTGTTTGAGCACTAGATACAGTGGCACGGAAAATGAAAGTATCATTGAATGAACTGTAGAACTTGTCTTTGAGGCGGTAGGTGATGAGACCAGCATCGACATCATCTTGAGAAAAGCTCTGATTTTCGTCTATTCTCCCAACAAGATGCTTCATGATATCGCCTTTAACTGGAGGGCGAACCACCTGGTATAAGATTAGAGAGCCATCCAAGACATGGGTGGCTTCGGATGACAGGTTCCGAGATGTGATAAACCCCTCGTTGATGACATCCATCACCAGACCAGTGTTAAAAGTCACTTCAATGGAAGTCACTAAAATCTGAATAGGAAGAAATATACCTGGCTTGGTGACAGTTCTACTCCTAGCAGTAAGTCCTATCTGATCATAAGACACTTCCGCTTCTCCAGTAGCCCGTGATGCAAAATATCGGACCTGGTTCATTAGAATATCTGTATGGCTGAATTCACTTGTATCCATCCATTCTCCTGTTTGGTCAAGCTTCTGTAGGTCACCTAGCCTAGGTGGAGTTGTAACCAGGTATGTCACTTCAAACATATCCTCTGGGTCGTTGGTGGTCACTCTCAGGTTAGAAAGATCAATGACCTGTGAAGCAGAAGGGTTAGTTCTGACTGCTGTAAGGTTGGCAACTTCCAGAGCAAGCTCGGCAGTTTCAATTCTAAAGGATGCCAGTCCACTCTTTTCCTCACCATCCCCTGCTCTCAGCACAATCCTGGATTTCAGCAAAGGACCGGTGTGCACATATGCTATATTGCCCTCATCGATGTCCTCTTGGGTGAATTCTGTGATGCTTTCACCACGATGTTCTGTATGATCAAAGAAACCTACATTGCCTTGTTGACTCACTATGGTGAAGGTCAGGTCTGATGAAGGGTTATCTGGATCGAAGACATGGAGAAAATCCGACAGCAATACTCTTCTTGTGTCTCTGATCATCCTGAAAGTATTGTCACCTGCAACAACAATCTCAGGAGGATCATTGACTGGTGTAATACTGATGGGAAGTGTGAAATTGAAGTCTTCGGTAATACCAGGCACTGGGTCTTGTTTTCCACTAAAGACGACATCAAATATTACCTGATCTTCAAAGTTTTCAGAGCCATCATGGACATAGCTGATTTTGCCCGTTTGTAAATCCAGAAAAGTAAACTGCACCCGGGAATCTCCTTTCCTAAGAACATCTTTCTCAATAACTCCAAATTCTGGGGGCTGGGCCATCTTGAATAACACCTGTGATTGTCGAAGATTATATTCCCTGAGATTAACATTCAAACGGATGTTAACTGATGTTATGAGTGCACCTCCACCTTCCATCACAGATAGTGAATCCAGTGTAAAAATTGTGAAAGGGGGAGTGGTTGGTTCTGGGGTAGCGATGGTTCTAGTTGTAGTAGATGGCGCAGCAGTTGTTGTATCAATTCCTTCTGAAGTAGGTGTTATCATAGAAGTAGACGTTATCATAGAAGTGGTAGAACATCCATCTCCCAGGCACTCGCAGTTATAGTCAGAAAGACCAGTCTCCATGCATCTGGTATCTTCTCCGCATGGATCCAGAGAACAAGGAAACTCATACAGACATCCAACTAGAATTCCATGTGTTGCATGCGAGTCCCCTAGGGCAAACTGGACTCCATTTAGCTCGACGTCTCTGAGACAGCCCCTAAGCGAGCCTCCTGTACTGGCATGGGTGATTGATGATAGATCCGAGCTGAAGGCCAGAGACCTGGCCCTATGGATGACCCCACCTACATATAATGATCCTAAAAAATCAACAGGCTCCTCAAAAGGGCTTGACAGTGCAAATTGCTCATCATCATAGTCAACACTTATTCTTATAGAATTCTGGGCAACTTCTATTATTACAAAGTGCCAGATCATGTCATTTACACTTTTTTGAGACACAATTGCAACAGAGTCAGTACTTGATCCTTCTTTTTGGACAAGGACCCGTATGTGACCGTCGTCAATCTCTGCAGCTATAAAACTGTTCTCTTGGTAACTAAACATCAAAAGGCCTAAGGGAGCAGAGGTGCGGATCCAACAGGCAAATGACCCTTCCTCCCGTATGTGCCATTTTGGAAATGACACAAAGGCGGTTTCCTTGACAAAGCTGATGGGATCATCCATGCCTGCCTCAAACTCTACGCTGCATTCCTGGGTGATATCGTGATAGATTCCTCCAGGAGAGCTTACCGATGCTGCTATGACATTGATATTGCCCACTGTGACATCCTCCAGGCATCCTCTAAAGTATTTGTCCACCCCTGAGAGGTGGGGACTCTTCAGGTCATTTGCACCACCAACGTATACATTTTCTGCATATATGGAGTCTCTGGGTATGCTCTTCAAGTCTTTTTGGTCTCCATCTATATACAGGATGCCTTGCTGATTGGACAGTGTCACTTGAACTTGATGCCATCTTAGGTTGTTCAGTTTTGGCCTCCTCCTGGATTGCAAGGTAACTTCAACATCCCCAAAGACAAGAACAGCCTCAACCTTAGAATCCCTGAGGCGCACCAAGAGGGCACTGTTTGGATGGGAGGCATACAGGAGAAGTCCCCTGGTGCGGCTTGTTCGGAACCGTATGCTGACCTCAGTCACTGCAGTGTTTTCTTCTAGAGGGAGCTTGATGTAGCTTGTTCCAAAGAAGGAATCTGTGCAAAATATAAGAAGAAAAGTAGACAATAAAATAATTTGTTGATCAAATATTTAAAATGAATTAGGAGTCCAGTGGCATCTAGAACACAGAAAATAAAACATGTTACTTTTCTGTCCTTGAATGACTGATTATCTAATTGGATAGTTTCTTTGGATAAGTATGGAAAATAAGTAAATCTGACGTACCCACAAAAAGGCCACAATAAATTTCACAGGAGGGCACAATGGACATCACGGAAATGCAACTTTGTACTTATCTTCATGATTTAAACAAAACATTTGAATTTTGTTCTTCATTGCATTTTCTCACAACATTCAATGACCCTTTCTTTAAATTTCCGGCCTTAATCAAAATGAACTTTTCATAATGGTAGATTTAACAAGATCTTCATAAATTCTGTATTTTAAACAGTTGCAAAAGTAGCAGTTGAAAACAAACAAACTTTTATAACAAAACTGTACACATGTACAAGTAGAAGGCCTTTCACCTCTATGTACAATACACATGTTGACCCCCTACCGTCATTATGCCATATAAACCACAAAAAACACAAAGCGACCTCTGTTCCAAACGCCCCTCTGCTCTGCGCTTCACCACAAAATTCAAAGTGCATGGTTAAGACTACTATTTTGACTACCACAGCACTCTATAATGGCCATATTATGGCTTCCAGTCGGCTGGAAAATTGTGAAAATATCAATTTCCCCTGCACCGTGATTATCCAGTCTTGATGAGCTCAACTCATCATCCTGTAATCACTCAGGCATGGAATGAAAACACCCCGAGAGTCTACTACGTTCAAATTCTTACTCCGTCTTTTGTAACAGAGCATAGAAAAATGTGAGAATAGAAGTGAATGAAAGATAAATAATCAAAGCATTATCAAAATATCCACGTTTAATAATCATCCTTACTCCGTCTTTTGTAAAGGAGCATAGAAAACGTGAGAATAGAAGTGAAGGAAAGAAATAATCAAAGCATTATCATAATAATATCCATGTTTAATAATCATCCACCAAAAGCAGAAGCAGAAGTACATGTATAATTATTACACATTTTATGAGTGTGAAAACAAATTGGTTGAATAAAGTTTTGTAGGCACTTGTCATATACAGTGATTTTAAAGATACTTATATCAATAACTTGCACCATTTCTCTTTTTACAGTTGTGCAAGATAAAAATACATACCGTATGTGGTCTTATCAGTTTGAATGTTATCACAACTTGGCACTGTCAATTTTCACCCTTGAATAGTTGCAATTCTTTTAAATTAGTTGCATCGTTACTTCTCATTACCACACTTCTCCATTTTTGTTCCATCATATATTTTTCTCAATAACCAGTAAGTTTGCACCCAGAGACTCTACATTATAACAAGTAAAACTTACGTATTACAAATTATACCTTAATTTGCCACTTCCACGACCACAGTAATGGATGCATTTTTTTCTTCTTGTCTGAATGTGGAATTTTCATGAATTCGTTGAATGGAAATTGCCTTATTCAAACCCCCAATTTACAATCAAATTGCTTTTACTTCATGAAATATGTATTCATGAGGATTTTGATGACAGCAAATTGTTTGACGGTTCTAGTCAATGATCCATGTAGAAGATAAAAGATATGGTGCTGGTCTAGCTTGTAATGAGGAATTGAAATGGCCTTTTCAGGAGATCATATAAAAGGTATTAATAGCTCCATTTGATAATAATGATTCAATTATTATGCCGTAATTTCAATGCACTTTTTGACTTGACATGATAATAGATTCTTACTCTTGTTTGTATACAATACATGTATGTAGCAGTTTTCTGTAACACAGGAAATAAGTAACTATTACTGAAATAAATTAGAATTCTTACCGGTAGTCATATAATCATTGTTATTTTCAATTTTTTGTGAATTCTCCTACTTTACAAAATATCTTGACGTGCCTTAGAATCTTGAAAAGTGCACAAGTGACAATTTAGCTTGAATTATTGAGCAATAATGGCAGACACGCATCTTTTAATTGAGTTTACAATTGATTTGTCTAACACCTTTTGGTAAAAGTTACACTTTCACCATCACGAAGCGAGGTAGGTGTAGGTGTTCTTCATAATGAGAATACACAGCTCTATTGGGCAGCTTGAAAAGTAATCTATCGCAATTTTCGCAAGGATAATTATTCATTTTACCCCAGATGGGGGATTAATCTAGATTAAGGGCTTCTATATGTGTTCAAGTGCTGACAAACAAGTCTATCAAGTCAGAATCGTTAATTATCATGACATAGAAAGTGCATGAACCGTGTCACTGCTGTCAAAATATAAGCCCCAAAGGAATTGTTGCATGTGTTACAGTAGATATTATGCATCAATATGGTTGCTTGCACACTTTAAATAGCAAATTCAGTCCGCAGGTAGAATACAACTACACAACAACAACAAAAAGAAATCATTCACACAACTTGAATATATATCTGAAAGGTAATTCAGATTATTTAGGGGGCTATGGCATTAAAAAGAAAGAAGAAAAAAGATCCAAAAGGTTAATAATAGTAAGTTAACAAAATCAAAATCTGTCTCGTAGATTGCTGAACTTTGATTTTGTTTTAAAATATGTAGTCAACTGTTCTTGAAAGGCTGGTGCCCCCCAAAAAAACTTCTCAGGGTTTTTTTTTGCACCGACCTCAAATTCTGATTTCCTATATTTGTCTTTGTATGTTTTTATGTCATATGCCTTTGTATTTATTTTAATGGTTAGAAATAAATCAATTGAATTGATTTTTAACAAATAGTAAAGTCTGTAAAGAGCTTGACAGATAAAGCTCAAGTGAAAAGCCATTCTTCTCTGAATAGTTTAAGGACAAAAAATGTAGGCACCTATGTCGTCACTATTGTAGGTTTACCCTAAATATTCTTTTTACATATTAAACAAACTATAAACCTCTTGTTTACATACATGACATGTACAACCTTCTTTACTTTCTTCAGATATACCTTTCTTACAAACCTTAAAGGGCAAGTCCTCCCAGATATTAAGTTGGTTTTGATGAGAAAAACACATCAGTGAAGGTTTGAGAAAATCAGATGAAAATTAAGAATGTTATGAATTTTGGAAGTTGCGATAAATCAAACACAAATTGGCAACTCTGTGATGTATCTTGCGGGCTTATTAAAACCAAATTCATATATTCATATTATATTTTAAAGGAGAATATATATTACTCAAAGCATTCATCCAGATCTATGTATAGCACAAGGTAATACAGGTATACCAGACTAATCATCCATGGCTTTAAAAAGGCTAATGTAAATGCAATTGCACATGCCTACACTGTATACATCAAAGAACTGGCAATGAAACGTATATGGCATCTGCATTTCCCATCAGCTCCATGGGAATGCACCCATTGATTGCTAAACAGGCGGCCAGCAGCAAAACAGAAACCCATCTTCGATTCTTAATTGTGAAGACCCAAAGGCGATGAGCCCCCGTTTTCTGTTGCTTTCTGAAATACACCTGGGATAAACCTCAAGCTTCAATTACATAATCCATGAAGCTCGATCATGCGTCTTTTATGGAAACCGATGCCCTGTGAGTAGAATAGTAGCGCATGTTCCATTGCCTGCAAGAGAGCTACAGGAGGGTCGTGGGTGCTACCGGGACAGCATTCATTAGTTTTCCTTAGAGATTCAAGGCCAGCTTCAAGCATATCAAATACAAAAATTAAAGCAGAAAATTCAAATAACTTTGAGATACATGTATATGATATAAAGTATGCATGGTGGCCTAAAGCTGTAGTTTCAAAGATTATAAAATAATATTTTAAGAGAAAACTACCCAAGTCTTTGTTCCTTGATATTTGTTTTGGATATGTGGTGAGTTATAAAACAGAATCGTAGCAAACATGATCTTTCATAGAGATTCAGAATTCTTCAAATTAAATTGGACATTGAGTGGAAAGGTCCAAGAGATGCTATATAAACTGCAGATATACAAAGTTATATGATGATGATCCTCTCTATGCTATATGCTGTATAAACAGAAACTGTTTTATATGAACTTTTTGCAAATTATGAACCACAGCTGTTTTTACGCTATTTTGGCATGGAAATTGCAAGAATAAGGATCACTTCCAAAAGTTGCTGGTTTATATCATATCATGTACTGTATTACTTGCCATGTTATTTATGTATTACATTGTAGGTAAAGAAGTAGCCTACTTCAGGTTGTAGTATTCTTTTCTTTTCCCAGCATCCATGTACAGTGTGTACACTTTGTCTTTGCCAAATAACAACAACTACTACTACTACAACTACTACTACTACTACTACTACTACTACTACTACTACTACTACTACTACAACTACTATTACTACTACTGCTGATGCTACAACTACTACTACTACTACTTCTTCTACTACTACTACTACCAATACTACCATCACTACCACTACCACCACCACCACTACCCCTATCACTACCACTACTACTGCTGATGCTACTACTACTACTACTACTACTACTACTACTACTACTACTACTACTTCTTCTACTACTACTACCAATACTACCATCACTACCACTACCACTACCACTACCACCACCACCACCACTACCCCTACTACCCCCACCACCACTACCACTACTACTACTACTGCTGCTGCTACTACTACTACTACTACTTCTTCTACTACTACTACCACTACCACTACTACTATCACTACTGCTACCACTACCACCACAACCACTACCCCTACCCCTACCACTACCACTACAACTACTACCTATTATGAACCACAGCTGTTTGTGCACTATTACGTCATGGAACTTTCGGGAACAAGGATCACTTCAGAAAGTTGCTGGTTTTATATCATTTCATGTAAAGTACTGAATAAAAGAGTACTTGTCATCTCATGTACAATTACAGTTGAAAGGGCCGCTGTTTCCTAGCCGTAGAGCAAACGTGACTGAGGCATAAATCAGCGTACACAGGCACAGTAACCACATGGATAA